AAGTAACGCATTTAACTTTTCACCGAATTCATCGCAGCAGTTTAGCATCCAATCGGAAAATTATCATTTCCAAGAAAAAAAAAAACAGCAATTTTTCTTTAAATTTTCTAAGAAAAAAAGTGAAAATTAAAGTATTTAAGTCTACTTTCATTGCGTAGGCACTCATTTCTCCTCCGTCTCATTATCTAAAAGTAAAGGAAGAACCACAACTCTTTTTGACTCATGTTGTGCTACAGTTTCTACAACCAAAAAAGGTAGTCATCACTGAATCAAAAATTGTAATTCTCTCTGGTTTGCAGCTTACTTCTATCAGTACGAACAAAGGAGCGGAAAAAGGGTAAAGGTAATTGATTCTATTTAATCATACATTCCTATCTTTGGCCAAAAGGAAAATCATGCATTCCTATCAAAATCAAATTTTCTTCATTCTCTGCAAGGCCGCAGCTGGTTTTGGCAATCTCATCTACGGCCATCTAAAATGGTTTTCTTTGTCTGGACACCCACAAAGGAAAGAGAAAGGGAAGAGAAAATTCAGTTTCCTTCTTTCTCATTCTCTCTCTTGAAAAAGGTGTCATTTTCTTTCTCTGCATGTTATTATCTTGTCAGATATTAATTGGTATTGCAGATTCCTGTGTGTGGGCAAGTTGGAGGAGGTGGGGCTCTTTCAATCCCAGCTGTCCCGTTTGTAGAAAAGTAGTTGTTGGAGGTGATGGGACCAATTGACCCATACTGCAACCTCCTTTGTGGATTTTTCACGATAACCCATCAACATCATCTATAATTTCTATGCTACCCTTTGTAAATTTCAGTTCAATATGTGCCTTCTTTGAGAGCTTGGGTTTTATTTTTATTTTTTTTTATTTTTTTTTTAATTATTTTGGGATCTGTCTGGGTTCTGGATACTACTAACTTGTTCTTACTGAGAGTTCTAATCATAATCATTTCCTTTTAACTTCTGGGTTTATGTAAATAATTAAATTTGCAGCCAAATATTTGATGGGGTGGTATTGATTCTTTGATTTTTAATTAAGAATTTTGACACAGATACAAGAGGAGATAATGGAGTAGTAGCTTTGCATTGTCAAAGGTTAGATTTCATTTTTCTTTCTTCAAAATTTCCTCCTCTGATATTAATCATGGTAGTTTTAAAGAAAAGTTTATCTGGGTGTCTGTTGAAGTGTCGGAATCTTGATAGTGCCAGCACCGTGGAGTGTAGGCGATCTTTTATTTTATGGTGCTTCCAACAGTTGTTGGCATCACTCGACTAAGGGTTGAAATGGGGAGATGGGACGGAATCTGAGTTGTTTCCCTCTTCCCCTTCTTTGATTTTGTGTAGAAAAACTTTGTAATTACTCGGTTATTGCTTATACTGGAGAGTTAAAAACCCAGGAATTGCCGAATGGGTGTGGGTATTTCCTTCTGTGGATAAAAACTCAAGTACAAGGTTAGTGGAATTTACCTTTTAAGGGTCTTGTTGAATGGCCATGAAAAGGTTTTTCTCAGAATTGGGTTTTCTCATTGTGACTAGAATCCAAATCTAAAGAAACTTTGCCCCATTATGTAAAAAATTGTTTTTTTTCCTAAATTCCTCTACTGAAATTTTATATCCTCCCTTTCAAATGTAGTTTAATGAGTCATGTCTCTAGATGATGTTGCTGAGTCTTTGTACTCATTTTAGTCGTTGACGAGTCTGTGTAATTTATGGGAATTCTACTAATTGATTAATTAGAAGAAAAATCCAACCCATTAATTAGGAGAAAGAACAAAGAATGAGGTACTGGAGTCTATGCTGTAAAATTTAGATTTAACGGGTGTGGACTGAAGAAGTATAAGTTTGTGTGGGCCTCCGCTGTTAAAACTGTTAATATCAGCTAGAGCTTTTGGTTTACTTGGATGCTGTTGCAGCAACTTGAATTCAATCTACCCATTACGGTCTTCTAGCTATTTCATCTTTGTTTGGTTTTTCTATTGTCTCTTTCCTATTTCATATTCCAAGACCCCAGTTACCATACGGTTAAATTTCACTGTGCAATAATTTTGGTTTCTTTGTTGTTGTTTTGAACTGCTATTTATTATTTTTGTTTTTATAGTTTTCAGATATTTCTCATGGTCTTAAGATAACTTTGATGCCTCTTCATTCATCAAATAGGTCAGCAGTTCACACAAGAGTCCAATTTTTGAATTGTGGAGCAAATTACCATTGAATTCTTCACATACTCCACTGGTATTTCCTGATTTTTATTGGAGGTGATCTCTAGTAAAGCTTCCTGGCCTTTTGTGGGTCTGTTTCTCTTCTTGCATACTGCTTTTGCCTGACACATCTGCTTCTTCACAGATTGTCTTCCATCAAATCAGTGTACTTACTATAGAAATAGATCCAATTTCCAAAATCTATTCTGGGAAATTCATGATTTTGAAGATGGGTTTTTTTGCATCCTGATTTTCCAGTTTGGTGGTTCGCTTCTCTCTCTGTGGTTCGTACCCTGGGTAGGAAGTTCAGACAAAGCCAGATGACTGTTAATGAGGAAAGCAGTAGCTCCATCTGGAGTAGGGAGCAGGATAAGGCATTTGAGACTGCTCTTGCAAATTATCCTGAGGACTCTTCAGATCGCTGGGAGAAAATTGCAGCTGATGTTCCTGGAAAAACTCCAGAAGAGATTAAACAACACTATGAGCTTCTAGTAGAAGATGTTAACCAAATTGAATCTGGTTGTGTTCCTCTCCCTTCTTATAATTCTTCTGAGGGTTCTACCAGCCATGCTGGTGATGAAGGAAATGGTAAGAAAGGGGGGCATTTTGGGCATTATAATAGTGAGTCCAATCATGGGAGCAAGGGTTCAAGATCAGATCAGGAACGCCGTAAGGGTATTGCTTGGACAGAGGATGAACACAGGTGACCTAACTGATTTCAATTTATTATTTTCTTGTTTCATGTACTGTCATTTCTATATTTTCAGAGGCACCTCAAACATGTTAACCATCATTCTTTGTGTCTTTAGTTTGACCTTAGTTGTGCATGGCTGTCTGGAATCTCATATGTGAGACTTTTTTAGAATCTTAACTTTACCTTTTCCATTTATCAAATCTTTTGAGAATTGCTTATTAGGCAGCAAAATCGATTTGGTTGATATTGCTATTTATTTGCCTGCTATATTTTATTTTCTACATAATTTCCTTATTTAAACATTGCAATGTTTTCTTTGGACAAACTATGGGCATCAGTGAAACTATAGACATAGGTCATTGCTTACCATGTTGGAATTAAATCCTACTACTGGTTGCCTAGCTTGTGCCATGAAATGAGGTTATTCTGTTACTGCTTAGTTTGTTTGCCCTGGTCGTTTGCAGGATTTTGTGGAATTGTTATCATTAGTCAGATGCACACCTACTTTGAAAATTATAAAATCATGCTGGTTGGGTTGATATATATTAATGGTTTTGTGCAGCTTTACTGAGAATTTGATAATATTTGTACACGTAAACATCCCATTAAATTGATTTTAGCAATCCTGGAGATGAATCTTTTAGAACAATTTTAGACCTTCCATTTGTGAAACAGAGAATGACATTGTGGTTATAGGAATTAGGGCTGTGTGTGTGGGGAAGGGTGGCTTAATATCTTTGTGATTTGACTGCTGAGTTGGACCATATGCATATATATATATATATATATTTTTCTTTATCAGCCAAAACAAAGTAATTAAATAAATTAAGGGGGTACAAGGGGTACTCCAACCCTCAAGAATTATAGATACTGTCCCAGTTCCCATTAAAAAAACCAAACCATAAAATCACAAACAAACCACAACTGACATCTCTAAGCAATTCATCTATTTAGCAAACTGCCATGAGCCTTCATTGCCTTTTGATGTTCAGTTATTGCTCTTACACACTCATTTAGTTGTTCACATCACTCATGGTAGCCAAAAATGCATCCTGTACCCTTTGCCTTGAGCCATTCAAATGTTTTCCCTGTATCATGCCCAACATTGCTGCATCAAATGCATCATCATTCTTAAACACTTTGTTATTCCTGAAATGACCCAAGCCGAAGCCTACTACTGGCCTAGCAACTCTTTGTTAGGCCAATGGCGGGCTTTGGCCCAAGTTGTTTCAATTCCTCCAATCCCATACATATCAAGCCACCACCAAAAAGATAATAGCCCCATTTCCCTCCCTTTACCCAATCCCACTTCAATAGAATATTTAGCCATTCCCCTTACGGTGCCTGGAAACACTCCCACCACACCCCTCCACCTCAATATACTCATCCAAACTAACCATATCCCCCAACACGAACAAAATAAATGATCATTCTCTTCCACCTCCTCCCTGCAGAAAACACACTGTAAATCCTGATCTAGCACATTTATGCTCCTCCTGATCAAATTCTCCGTCGTAGCCAACCTATTGCACAATAACCTCCATCCAAGAATGCTTACTTTTGATGGGACATATCTACACCATATCAATTTACATAAATACTCAGCAAGAAATTGCTCCCTTGATAACAACATACAGTAAGCCTTTTTTGCTGAATACAACTCACCAATATCATGTATCCACCACCCTCTATCTTCCTCGCTCACCTCCCAACCCAGCCTCGGCCTTCTCCACACCAAATTACAGACACTCCCCTCAAGTTAGCCCATATCCTTAACATTCATCTCTTTAAACCTTACTCTATCACCCATCTCTTCCCTAAACCCCTTGAACAACATATTCTGCGAACCCCCTGAGCCCTTACCTGTAGCAATAATACCACTCCACACACGACATACTATCAACATTAACTGAAGTGATTTCAGCCTCCCCTCTACCCCCATAATATTTCTCCCACACCACCTGGACAATATGCATATTAAATGACTATTTATCATTTTTCTATAACTGTCTATGGTGGTAATACTTCTATGGATGCTGATTTTCTTAGAGGTTGCCAAAGGCCTCCAAATGCATGAACTGATAAGCATTCTAATCTAATGCTTTAGAAACTTTTCAGGATTTTGTTAGCAAATTAGGAATCTTTACCCTTTTAGAGAATCAAATACATGCTGGTTATTTTTTTCAGTCCATATTTCACTCTTTTGTATCTTATTATTGTTATTGTTAGTTAAAAAGGAAATTAATACTGAAATCCAAAGGAAAAAATAAAAAAAGAACTTCCATTACTAATAGGAGATGTGTAAAAATTATTTTTTAATGGGAAGGAATCCTGCTTTCGTATGAAATTTTATGATATCAGATGTTTCTCTATCATATTTCAGTAACATTCATTGTCTAGAACACTTATCACTGGATTTTGTATGAGTTGGCTATTAGCAGCACTCAAGCTTATCAATGTTGAAAACTAATCAAGCATATCTCCGATGTTTGAATGACTTGGCTATTCGCTAGATCTTTTCTTTATCTGTTTCTCCAGTTAGAATGCTGTGTTTTTTTGCCATACTCTTTAGAAGTTTAATTGAGTTGACTATTAGCTTGTCAATTAACAATTTTTGGGGAAGATTTTGGAAGTGTAAAAGCTGTTACAAAGTTAGGAAGGTTCACTAAACATCTACCGTAAATTGATTTTATTAAATAATTAGTTTGTCACAAGAGGCTTCCATTCAGCTGAACTGAAAGCTATAGTGTGGGGGAAGACAGTGCATGCTGCCATTAAAATGAATCAGGCTTACACAGGAAGCACATTACTGGGTTTGAATATGTTCCTTAAAACACTTGTTTGTTCAGAGTTACCATAGTGATTTTAAGTACCAAGTCCAATTTATGCTACCTAGTTGATGCAAGAACCTTTTGGTAGTCATTCTCAAAGGAATGCTATAATATCGTAATCATTTATATAGAAGAAATTAAAGCATGTGAATACAAGTAGGGAAAACTGAAAGAACAACATGATTCTTATTTTTGTGAGGTGATTAGACAATTACATTAGGACCCTTTATATAGGTTTGAGGTAAAGCCTAGATACAATTCATCATAATGACTGAATAATAAATCTAAATTCTACTATAATTAACCAAATCACTAACTTAATGTGATTGATTTCATATCTCTTAATATCTCTAATATCCCTAACAATATATACAAACATTATTGCTAAATGCTTGGCCACAATTAAACCTAGTTTTTGTTAAGCTCAAATTGTTTAAAGGGTGCTAGATAAAAGTGTGCCGAGAACACAGCTAATTTTACCACCTTTTTTTTTGCATCATTTGTTCTGATGAATTACTGACATCCACAACATTACAGAACATAGCTTGAGCTCTTATTTCTCGTATGATGCTCTCTATTAACCAAGCATATTTAAGTGTTGCTCTTTATTATTTTGGAAAAATATTTCGTTAGAAATCCTGGACAACAATTTGGACACATAAAGTCTGAACATATTGTACTTAACTTGCATTAGTAATATTAGCTCACATTTTGTCTGAAAACTGAATTGTCTTTCCTGTGGAGGAGTAGGAATCTTGTTCAGAAAAGCAAAAGAAAACATTTAATCAAAATAATGAACATGGTTCAAGAAAGATAAAAGGGTAGAATTTGAAAGCGTGTTGTGTTCCTAGTAGAAAATATAATGACAACTTAATCTTGTATTTTTGTCAGCCCAATAGTGAAAGGAAATAAACTAACGATGAACACTTGGATGCATCTAGTCCTTCCATAATTGGATTTTCCATTTCTGTGTGTCTAGGTCTACTACTTGAGGGATCTGAACTATGAAAGGAAACCTGTGGTGGCCTATGATCCTGGCTGATTGCTGTTGCACTTAAACATCTTGTTAAGTGTTTCCTAAACCTAATAACATTTAGCTCTTTACTTTTGGATTATTTATAAGAACATAAGCATACTTTTCATTCATAATCCTTGGTATTCAGGTTGGCTTTATATGTCCCTTTTTCTCCTTCAAATCTTTTCAAGAATCTCTATCTCACTGCTCCCTCATTTATATATTTTTTTTTCCTAACAAGTAACCGCCTTGTTTATCAAATTGAAAGTTCTACCAATGTTGCTCTTCCTTTCCATAATAACTCCCTGAAAACCCAATAACTCACATGCCTATCGCCAGGAGTTACCTATGTCCAGCCCTGTCATCTTAAGCTCAATCTGAGGTTTGGTTAAGCACTATTGGAGACTGGTCTGCTGAGTCAGAATTAAACAGTGGCAGAATAGAGAAATGTTAAAAAAGAGTAACAATAGGATATTGTACCATATATTGGTCAATTCTGGTTAAATGCACCTTAAAGTATACCCTCTCTTACTCTGTAGGGATATATGAAGTAGGATACACAAACTAGGCCAAAATCAGTTCATCTTATTAGATAATACTGTTATTGGTAGTGACAAAGTAGTATTTTCTAAACAATTGAACTTTATTCACATAAATGTTGGTTCTTGACATGACATAAACTAAGCCACTGCCACTGCCACCAGCACTGACCAGGCAGGCTGGATTTGTGTCTATAAATCGTCAACTTTGTTTGAGGTAATCGCATTTAAATTGTACAAGTATTATATATGGATATCACCAGCTTTCTGTCTGATAATGTCACATATAAATACTCTTGTTTTCATTCTGTGATTCAGCATGATATGCATTTGGCTGAGCAACTTGATTTTGTTTGAAGAGCTGTGGTTGTATAGGTTTTTGTAAGACTGAAACATGCAACTTCTTTCAACTAGGAAGATTACATTGTCCAATTTTACAAATTTGAGATTTGAACTTTGATTTAATATTCAACCAAAGTGTGCCATATTTGATTTTAATGCTAGTTTTATTACCATATTTGAAAGCAGGTTGTTTCTTCTTGGTTTGGAAAAATATGGAAAAGGTGACTGGCGAAGTATATCCCGAAACTTTGTGGTGACAAGAACACCAACCCAAGTAGCAAGCCATGCACAAAAATATTTCATCCGTTTGAACTCAATGAATAAGGATAGGAGGCGATCCAGCATCCATGATATAACCAGTGTTGGCAATGGAGATATTTCAGCACCCCAAGGACCGATCACAGGTCAATCAAATGGTTCTGCTGCTGGAGGTTCATCTGGTAAGTCAACCAAACAGGCCCCCCAACACCCAGCTGCCCCCCCGGGTGTTGGCATATATGGTACTCCAACTATAGGACAACCAATAGGACCCCTTGTCTCAGCAGTCGGCACTCCCGTGAATCTTCCTGCACCACCACACATGGCATATGGTGTTAGAGCTCCTGTACCAGGAGCTGTGGTTCCTGCTGCAGCAATGAACATGGGTCCTATGGCATACCCAATGCCACATCCTTCTGCTCATAGGTAATAGGTTGTTTAGCTGCAAAAATATACAAGGACAGAAGACAATCTGCTTGTGTGGATATAGTGGCATTGGTTTTCCTTTTCCATCTTACCCTGAATAAGGATTTGCATATTTGCAAGCACAAATTGTCCGATGCAAGTCTGTCATTTGTCAAATAAGCCATAGGCCATAGTGAGAGGAGTTACAACTTACATGGATCTGTATAGCTAACTATGGAAGATATTATGTGTGGCATATTTATGAGGTTAGGACAATTTTTTTATCAATTGGGTCTCATCATTGCAAGTATTAGCATTAGACTTAGAGATAGTCAGTGCTTAGAAATTTCATGGTTAAAGTTGTTTGTATGTAAACCCCTTATGTGTTGTTCTGTTATGAATAGCATATTTTAGCAAACGCTCTTTATTTCTTATCTTGTTTAAGATCAACAGGTGGCCTTTTGTGTGTGTGTGTGTGTGTGTCTGTGTAGCATTGTTCCAGTCAAGAGTTAGGCCACTCATGTCAAAGGGATTTAAGTGAAATTTTGTCTGTGCTGCCTCAATGGGACTTACAGTATAATAGGAAGAGCAAACATCCTTACAAAGAACACAACCCCTGTGCTAAAACCAGCTATTGGCTTGTCATGCTTCCATGATCTAAGGGAATTTTAAATTTGAGATCTTTAAAATTTTCAATCTTAAAAGGCAAAAATTTGTAAATTGTACAGTAAGTCCCCATTGAGGCTGATGGCATGCCCTGACTTTGGACTAGGTAACCTCGCAGCCCCCTCACGCTAAACTTTTTCCGGTCATATAATTCAAATATATTTATTCGTTCCATTGATCTAAGCCACTAATTGCTTATCTCAAACTTCTATAACAAACACCCTCTAAACCAGCAAGTGAAATCCAAAAGCCTAGTAGCAGGCTGTCAATTGTCTTGAGTTAATACCGTTATGACTACCTTAAACCCACTTTCAGAGACTTTTGCACATTGCAGGGGCTTAAGGGGGGTTTAAGATTTTGACAAAATTCAATGGCATATTATTATGCCAGGAACAAGTTGTGGGTACTGTGATAGGGATTACAGGTAGTGTAGGTAAAACAAGCAAAGAATGTCAAAATCTACGATAGCTTTAGCTCTTAGAGAGTCTAGATAGCAATGTTTATCAGAGTATTGGGAATTCAAATAACAGAATTGGGGTTGCTTTTTCAGTCACAGGGATTCCAAGGAATTCTCATAGCAAATGGTTTAATTAAGAAGACAGGTTTAATTAAGAACATAACATATTTCACGTTTGGTTGGTTCTGATAACCTAATTCCCAAGATTTTGAAGTGCTTGAACAGTTGAATGTTCTTGTTGTTGTGGTATGGTAGCCAAGGGTAATTGTAGAATGAAATTGGAGAAAGTTTTTGATGCTATTAAAGAGAAGAAACAATTAGACTGAAGTAATGCTGCCACTGGAACCCAAGGCATTGAGAATTTGAGATGCATCTCAAATTGCATACGTTATTGTATGCCAATAATTATGACTTATTAGCATTCTAATTGCACATAAACATATTCTATTATCTCTTTTGTCTCTCTTACCGTTTGTGTATGCTATCTTTTAGTTTTACAGATTTCTGCCCTGTGACAGGCTCAGTTGGGTGATCTGATGAGGTGCCACTTTGGGACTTGAAAATAAAGATTTGGGTTTACCTTCTGCTCTCTGACTCCAAGTCTCCAGCCTTCTTCCTTTTTCTTTTTCTTAGAAAGTACAGTCAGAATGGCGCAATCTTTCCTATCCCTTTTAAGTTGGTGGCTTGCATGCCTCAAACAACCTTAGCATAAGGGCACAAGTTACGCATTATTTATTATCGCATTTATAATTAATTTTATATAAATTTTTATATTAAATCTAATTAAAATAAAAGATAAAATGTAAAATTAAAATAAAATAAAATATTTGTAATTGAAATCTACTAAAATATATGAATTTAGTATGAAAGTTTGTATAAAATTAATAATAAATACTTTAATTAATGAAATTTAATTTTAAGGTATAAATTAGACAAATCTTTGTTATCTAAAGATTTAGAGACCAGAGTTTGTGATGCTCATGTGTCTGAAATGGAGCTGCTGTGCCAATGATGGGGCAACTCCCTCTCCCACAGAACATCACAAAAAGTGACAAGGCAGGCAGGGAGGTAGGCCCTTGAATTCTTTCCTTGGTACAATTTCTTTTACATTAAGCAAATGCTTCTGTTTCTTAATAGTGACATATGGGGACATCAGGAGAAATTAACAAGTGATGGGTCGTCTTTTACTCTTTTTTTTTGCCTGTTGCCAGTACTCACACATCAGGATGATTGTATTCCAGATAAGCATATCTGCGCTTGTTCACTTCTGTTGGGTTGCCTTCTTTTCTTTTGACAAATTAAGCCATCCTCCATCCATTGCCTTTTTGGGAAAAATGCCTCCTTTCGTCATGACTGAAAGATTTTTTGAGATTACGAAGTTCCTGGAATTTCATGGCTTTGCTCTGAAACAACTAGATGAAAAAAACCAAAATGCCAAAAAAAGGGGAAGATTACCCATGTACTCTTTTTTAATATATAAGTTATTTAATATAACTCAGTGAATAATTTAATTAACTTAAAGTTTTTTTAAAGATTTAATAAATTTAATTGAATAGCTATCAACAATAAAATTTTAATTTGAAATTAAAATTAGAAACTTAAATTTAATAGTAAGCATCTAACTTTTTGACGTAAAAAAAATAAAATAAAATTAAAAAATGCTACATTATTATCTTTTATATATATATATATATATATATCAATTAAGTTTGGAATTTCTTGAATTCTTACATTAAACTTCAGGTCCTTCACCTCCTATCATTTGATATATAATATATGTTTTCCTCTGGACCTGCCCAGCATCACCATAACTTCAATCCTTGGTATTTCATCATTATTGGGAAATGAAGATTTAGTTAAAAAGAAACATATATATATATATATATATATATATATATATAATGAGGCCAATCCTATTGAACTACCAAGATTTAGGTTAAGGGCAAGATAAGATATGGTGTGTTGGGGCGGTTTGATGCGATCCCACATGGATGACATAGTAACTAACTTCAAAATCATTCTCTTTTAGGTCTCCAAATTGGGTTGACACAACCAATTGTTTTGCATTGTTTCCTTGTCTTTTTAAAAGTGGATAAAGAAGGCAAGCATCAGAAAGATTCATTGCCAGATCAGAAAGCTTCTATGCCACATCCTCATGGACTCAGTATTAAGGGAGAAAAAAAGAAAAGCAATCTCACGGTAGTTAATGCTCCTTTTCTCTATCTAATTAAGCCAATTTTATATCTCTGGGGTCCTATTTGAATTTTGAAGAAAGAGTAAAGGCAGCAAAACAACAATAATAACAATAATATAATAAAAAATAATCCATAAAAGTTGAAAAAGATAGTTACATAAAACTATAAATATTATGAATTAAATGAACCATTATCGTTTAAAAAAATAATTTTTGTCAATGATTTCAAATCTAGAATAATTTTTTCAAGTAACTGACCCATCTTCCTTCTAAATTTTTGGACAGGGGGACTTAACAAACAAGACATTGGACCTTTGTTCCCACAAGTCATATATTTCTTAAAGAAACCAAACAAACAATCTTCTCAGTATCTTTTCTTTACCGAAAGGAAAGATAAAATAAATAAATAAACAAAGAATGTGTCTTTCCATGCTAAGCATATGCCTTTATTTCTCTGCATGAGCCATGGATGACTCATGCTACGAAAAGGCAGATTCAGGCGTATAAATACCATTTGCAGACTTTAAGGTTTCATCATTCACAGCCATCTCTTGGGATCACTGCAACAGATAAGGCAGAGGCAGAAGATCAGAAGGAAGAACTTCTCGGCACAGATTTAAGTATGGGAAGCCAAAACCAAATACAGAAACAAGTTCTTGGTATACCCATCAGATCAACAAGATTGTGCTTACCAGATCCAACTACCGAATACCAACTTCAAGCTTCATCAGGGAATTCTGCTACATTCAAACAAAGTAAGAAAACCCATATTGATGTATCAAGAAAAGCTCAAATTAACTTATCATAACATGGATTATGTTTTACTAATAGGAAAGATATATATGATATTTGCAGGTAAAGTGCATTTAGTGCTCAAAAGGATGAACAAGTTAGGAAAGAAAGCTGATAGCTTTGCAAATGGGGTCCGAGAACACGGTATGGAACTACTTTCTTTTTATTTCCTCCAAAAAAAAAGAACAGATATTAAACTATACCAAACATATTCTACGAATTGAGATCAGCCTGGGGGTTGGAACTAAATTTATTTTTGGAATTGCAGTGAGACTGGGGCCAAAGATCACTGAAACTGTGAAAGGGAAGTTGAGTTTGGGGGCTAGAATTCTTCAAGTTGGTGGGGTGGAGAGAATTTTCAAGCAATTGTTTAGTGCAAGAGAAGAGGAGAGATTGTTGAAGGCTTGCCAATGCTATTTATCAACCACGGCAGGTCCCATAGCAGGCCTCCTTTTCATCTCCACAGAAAAAGTTGCCTTCTGCAGTGAGAGATCAATTAAGATCTCTTCTCCAAATGGAGAATTGCTTAGAGCTCGTTACAAGGTAATTACTCAATAAGCATTCAGTCCTTTCTTCATCTCAAAATTTTCTGTTTTTAATTCCATTTCAATTTATTTAAAATTAATCTCTTTTGCAGGTTCTTATTCCAATTGGGAAAATAAAGAGAGTAAACCAGAGTGAAAACATGAAGAAATCATCACAGAAGTACATGGAGATAGTTACAGTTGATGATTTTGATTTCTGGTTTATGGGATTTTTGAACTATCAGAGAGCTTTAAAGTGTATTCAGCAGGCAATCTCCCAGAGATATTAGATGATAGACAAGTCACAGTTTCTAGGTGACTTAGAGATGTTTGTTTGTATCTCTCCTCTTCTTTCATCTGATTTATTTGCATGAAATGATGAGGAAATCCAACAAGAGTAAATGGAATTGTAAAAAGTTCTTGTTGATGAAACTGTATGCTTCTCATCTTCTGTTATCTTAAACTTTGGGTCCTATCTGCATATATGGAATTTGATGCTATTGCTGCTCAAATTTTCAACTCTTCATTCTTAATTAATTCTTCAATCCAAAGTTAAGTGCTTGAATGTTAATGATGTTCTAGTGAACAGTAGATTTTGTTCCTAAAAACAATGATTTAAAAAAATAAATAATAGCAATAATTTGTTGGTTCGAATGAAAGGAGTTTAGTTCCCCTTAAGTAATATCTCAAATTTGAGTCTTGTGAATGAAAAAATAGGTGTTGGGAAAGCTTCCTCCCATATAAGGTCTAACCCGTTCCGACTTTGGATTAGTCAAAACCCCGACTTCGAATTAGTTAGAACCCAATGTAGTTTCTGGATACCAAGGGATTAGTAAAAAAAAAAATATTTAAATCAGGATGAGTTCAAAAAAACATGTTACAAAAAGTCATAAACTCTCTAATAATCTAAAATTAGTACCCTACAATTCATGCTTGGTCTTGTGCGCAATTTTTTTTTTGTTTTTAGTACTAATCTCTTGTTATTCGAAAGATAGATTGGATTCGACTAATCTAGAATTGACTTGAATTAGCTTATTTTTTCATTTATAAAACTAAAACTCGAACTTGATACCTTATTTAAGGGAAATTAAGCCTCTTCTACTTAAATTAATAGGTCATTGGTCTTTCTACCTAATTAATACTTTTAATATATTTTATGTCCTTCGTTGCCAATCCAGCCATTTATGTGATTCCATTCAAATTAAAAATTTAAACAAAAACTCATAATTTAAATAGTTTGGTAGTAATTTCTTTCTCATAGAAGTAGGAGATTTTGAATTCGAATAATATGTTATATCGGTGGAGTAGGTTAAGGGATGAAAAATGATTACTTACAACAAAAGATTAAAACCAAAAAGGAAAAAAAAAAAAAAAAAACCTAAGTAGATGAAAAACAAAAGTTCAACTATCACTAAGATGATATTATATAAAAAAATGCCATTGTTACAATACCACATTGTATTTGTAAAGTAGCAATAATAATATGTATATATAGTACTAACTATTTTTTATTAAGGGTTATACATGATATTATATGTATTTGCTCGTTTAATGTCGTATTGTCATTATAAGCTTACAATTTATGTGACGTTATAATTGTTGTTGACCTTAATTTTGATATGTCAAAACTTAATGGAAATGTAAATTTATTTTTTACATTTCACCCTATTAATTAAATTTTTTATTTTAATTTTGGTGATGAAAATTCAATTGTAAATGTGAAAGGATTGATTTTAAAGTTTGAAATATAATTCAATTTTGGAATATGAATTTTAGATTTCTTATAGTTAAGAAAGGAAGTTATTATATTTTATTATGGGTATATATTTTCGAGATTGAATATATTTTCTAATCATTAAATGAAATATGTTTCCAAAAGAAATTGAGTTTCTTTGTCAAAAACATTTCAAAATGCATTTTGTATAAATGGTGTGGAACAAAACAATGGGGTCTAGAACTTGTCAAAACTTGTTTTTGGGAAGGCCTCCATATCCAAGAAAAGTTCCAACTCCAAACATTTTGCACTGGAACTTTTTCACCTAATGTTTTTTTGACAGCGAGGTTCAATTGAAAAGGTTGTAAACTCCAATAGAAAAGGTCTAGCACTTTTGTAAATTCTCAAAAGCAACAATTAAGAATGTTGAAAAGGTCTAGAACATATAAAGAGGGTTTGGAACTAGTGTGTCAAAGATTAGTTTTACATTCCAAATTTGACAAGATTCTCTTGCAAACTTAAAGCAATGGCTAGAAACCCTAATTGAGCATTATTGGAAGATGAATGGAAGCTATTGGAGATTGAGGAAGGAAGAGAGAAAATATGATGCTAAAGTTTTGAGCAACGCAAAAAGTCTTCCTTATTAACTTTCTAAATTTTGTGTATTTGATCAAGTTGTGATTTTCTTCTTCTTTCTCTTTCATTGTAACAAGTGAGAGAGTGTTGGGTTCATTTTAGATCTAAGGCCAACCTCAAGAAAGTTGTTGTTCCTCGAACACTCTCCTCCATCTCCACATCATGTCATTGTTGTGTCTCG